GCTTTGAATACGAATATAGATATTTATTTAAATTACCTGTAATAAAAACTCATTTTGAGTAAGACAACGTATTTTAACAAAAAAGAATACATTCTAGCGCGTTTGTGAAAAATTTCTTTTTCTTTCAGTGAATGACGGCTAAACAAATGTATTCGAGCGTAAAAACAAATAGATACATGCGAGTTCGTAAAAGAAAATGTGTTTAAACGGTGTTTTCTGTGGCATTTTAAATTGAAAAAAGCATATTTCAGATAATGGCAATGTGTTTGAATACAAAAATAACTTTTTCTTTCTGAAAGTGAGTAAGAGTGTAAGTGGGAATGTGAGTGTGAGTGTTAATATGGGTAATATTTTCACACACTTACACTATAAATTTTTTCAAGATTTTCCATTTTTCTAGATATTTATTTTTTTATTTTTTTTAAAATTAACTTTAAAAATTTTATATGTACGATCTTTTAGTTTCAAAAAAAACTTTTTTTGTTAATTAGTAATATGTCTTTTGAAATCTTGTTTTTAATATTTTGGTATGGTGAAAGTTTCTTTAATATTCAAAATAAAAGAAATTAAAACAAAAATAACATCTATGAATTTTCTTTTAAAAGTGGAATAAAAAAGTCGCAGTGACATGTAAGTGCATCGCAATTTTTGCAATTACGATTCACAGTGTGGTTGCAGGCGAACAAGTGGGTCTTCTTATATTTTCTCTTATAAAACAACCACTAGATGAATATATAGTATTTTGCATGGTAGAAGTTTTTTTCCTTCTGTTCTATCGCCGATCATAACGCAAGTAATTACTGACGCATTGAGCGTAAATAATCGACGAAGAAAGAAAAACAAAGTTATTTTATACATAGACATCGAAAGAAAAAAATGCTTATTCTCCCCCAGAAATGAGTCTATCATTTGTTTTTATTTTTCATTTGATAACGCACATACGATTGTGTAAGTGAAAGAGCGAAGATATTTTTTTCTTACAGCAGTAGAAAATATTTTTTTCAGTATTAGAAGTATTTTGTTCTTTTTTTTTAAATATTTGTCGCCACTCAATTTACGTTTCTTTGATACGTTAGAATGAGGCATAGACTGACAGATTATTTTAAAGTTTTATGTAGACCTATTTGCAACTAGAAAATAAAATCTAAGAGAGTTTTTTCAGTTTCTAAATCTCCTGCAAATCGATGTGTATATTTTACTAACGAGGGAATATTCCCAAGTTTCAAATCCATTTTGAGTTGAGAGTATGAACATAAGGTAGATCTGAGTGAGATATTAAAAATCTCAAAAGGATGAGATTGTTCCATCAAAAAAATATTATATTCTGCGTACGTATTTATATCAACATGACATATTTACACAAGAAGAATGCATTTCATACAACAACAAAGAAACAATGTCATGTTAACATGCAATACATCCATTCATCTGACCTCAGACGCATACTATATGCGACAAAATTTTTTTTCAACAATTTCTCGAAGTGAGTATTTTCGAAGGTGAAACAGCGATCTTTAATTTTAAGTGTTAATGAGTTTATGTCTTTTAAAGTATTATAGATGATTTATTTTCATATAAGAACTTTTAAAATTATTTTTCGCTTGTTATCTTCGACACAGCAGACAATTGAAATTTAATGAGTGTCTCAGAAATAATGAACCTTTCCGTATTTTGATGATTTCTCTGTTGATATTCATCATATGATTAGTTGATTAAGATTGTTAGTAATGTTGTTACTGCAACAACAAATCAGTACAGAAGGAAGATGAAGATCTTATGACATTGTTTCTCTTACATGTCTATTTAATTAGATGCACTTTTCATTTTTTCTTATAGCAGAAATATAATATATCGAGAAAAAAAGAAGGTATAAAAAAATTTTTTTTTTCTTTGAAAATTGTTCAATCCCTTAGACAACAACATAGATTTAGTTTTCGAAAAATATCAATTAGCGATCTATTTCTGCATGTGTTTCTTCTTTTTATCATTCATCTCGAGAACAAAAACAAGATTCATATTAGTATTTATCGACGAAGTCAAAGATATTCAGAAGAATATTTAGATCAAATTCATTGATTTATATTGATTCATTATATTTTTCCAAAACAAACATTCAATGAGCGCATGCAGGTATGACTTTCTTAATCTTACGTAGTTAACTATAGTCAAAATTTGTTAAAAATTAATTGACTAAAATTGTCAACCATATTCATTTTCCTATGACGCAGGATTCTTCATTCTAAATATTCCATTTATGAGAGCATGAAACGTTGAAAGTCATTCAGAAAATAATTTTATCGTGCTTAGAAAATATTTACTGCGGAGTATGCCTTCAGAGATTATTTCAAATGTAATTATTGGAACGAAAAATTCTGTATAATACGAAAATAACGAAGTCTTCACAAGAGCATTGTCAAGTTTATGTTGTAAAACAGACGGTATGGCTTTTAAATTTTATACTAAATGTGTATTGACGTAAAAGCATACATAGAACCAAAGAAAAATCAATGTTATCCAATTATGCATTTATATGTGGATTTTGGCGTATAAAAGTATCGTCCAAGTAATCAAGTATGAAAAATAACTATTTCTAAGGAAAAAAAAACGTCTTTGGTAGGCAATGAATTCTATTCAGTTTTGGCGTATTATAATTAGTTGCAAATCTCTATTGATATGTTTTTTTTTCAAATGAATCTATGTGTACTGAAACATTAAATTATCTGAAAAAAGATATTGTAGGCTCGTTGGACAAGCGTTGAAGAATACTAGAAATACTGACAAAGAATCAACAAAGATTTTGACATGTATCCTTATTACTCCTACAGAACAGGAAGAAAAGAAATGGATTAGAGAAGGGAGAAAATAAGTTATTGTTAATGGAAAGTATGTACGGATAGGAATGCAATCAAAAAATAAGATGATTAAAAGAATTTAACACATTTATTTTAGAGAAGTTGACATGAATGCATCAGAGCAGACAGCAGAAATTGTAAGTGAACAAATATCAATCCAATTTTAGCTTGCTATATGTACTCATAGTAAAATTCAATAAAAAAACAATTGTTATTTTACGAATTTAGGAAGATCACAAATTAAATCTTTCTGATCTTTTTCGACGCTACAACAGTGATCCCAACACAGTGAGTGTTATAAATAAGCAGCTCTCTTCGAACTCTTTTTCATCTCTATAGGGTTTAACAGATGCAAAAGTGAAAGAACTTTTGATCCGTGATGGTCCCAATATTCTTTCACAACCGAAACCAATATCCAAATGGGTGAAATTTTATAGACATTTATTTGGAGGCTTTTCATTTGTGTTCTGGATTTGTGTGATTGTGTATTTCATTATGTACGGCTTTTCAACTACTACACATGACGAAAATGCATCAATCAGCTATGTACATTGTATCAACCATTTATTTTCTCATATGTACATGTTAGAAAAATTCTAGTTATGGTTTGGTATAATGTTGATTATTGAAATACTTACTATTATCATGTTTTCATACTATCAAGAATCGAAAAGTTCACCAATTATGGCTCCAATGACAAAAATGTAAGATGATTATTTCTGAATGTCTACGAAATAATCTTTTTCATTGATGTTTCTCTATGATATAGGGCACCTCAAGTAAGTTGACATATTGTAAACCATTGTATAATCATCTTGTTTTCTCAATCCAGCAAATATTTGTTATTCGTAACGGCGAGAAAAACCAAATCAACATTGAAGATTTAGTAGTAGGTGATATTATTGAAGTTAAGTCTGGTGATAGCATACCTGGTTTGTTTCTTTTGAAAACAAAAAAACGAAATGTCATTTAACTTTCTGCATGAGTAGCTGACATTTGCATTATCGAATCGAGTAATTTCAAAGTCGATAATTCTTCTTTTACTGGAGAAATTGAACCACAAAGACGTTCGGCTGTATTTACTGATGTAAATCCATTGGAAACGAAAAATTTGGCTTTTCGTAGTACCATTGCAACAGAAGGTTTGTATGATGCCTTTCACGCAATATTTTACTAGTATTTAAGAATTCATTAGGGGTCGCCAAAGGCCTTGTCATTCGTACGGGTGATTTCACTGTAGCTGGTCGTCTTATCAAATTGAATTCGAATCAATCTACTGGTGGCACATCGATTACTAAAGAGATTTCTCATTCGATTTATAGCATCACGCTTGTAGCCGTTTTTCTTGGTATAGCCTTCTTCATCATTGCACTCACTCTCGGTTATTCATTCTTCGAATCAGTCATTGTTCTCATCATAATTATCATTGCTAATGCGCCTAAAAGTCTTGCCATCACTGTCACAGTAAATAGCAACTATTGAAAAAGAATTAGAGATAAGTTTTTCTCTTTAATTATTGCTGTAGGTATGTTTAACATTGATAGCCAAAGAAATGAATAGAAAAAATTGTTTGGTGAAAAAGTTGGAAGCTGTCGAAAGTCTCGGTTCGACATCGATCATCTGTACGGAAAAGACTGGTGTATTGACACAAAATCAGATGGCAGTCGCTCATATGTGGTTCGATAATAAAATTGTCAAAGTAGACATCAGTGAAAATCAAGACTGTGAGTTATTTCTTGACAATAGAGAACAAAGAAAAGGAATTAGAGAATTTTTTAGTATCTATCTTCGACAAAAACTCATGTGCTTTCTTAGCTCTTACTCGTTGTGCCATGTTGTGCAATCGAACTGATTTGAAACAAGATTCAGAAAATTTGGCACGACCAGTGTTACAACGCGAATACAATGGTGATTCGTCTGAAGTTGCTCTACTAAAATACGTTGAACTATCAGTCAGTAAATTTTCTTTCATCGATTATTCTTTCATAATCTTAATTTGTAAAGATTGGCAATGTGAGCGAATTCCGTCAGACAAATCGAAAAGTATGTGAAATTCCGTTTAATGTAACAAATAAATATCAACTGTCGATCCATGAAATACATACTAATAATGAAAGTGAAGACAAGTCTCAGTCGTATTTATTAGTGATGAAAGGAGCTCCTGATTCAATTATTAACCGATGTTCAACAATTTATATCGATGGTACAGATGTGGAAATGAACGATTGTAAGTCTGCTTTAATTATAGTTAAATATTATTCATTATCTTTGTTAAATATCTACAGATTGGAGAAATCAATTCAACAGTGCATATTTGGAGATTGGTAAGTTAGGAGAACGAGTGCTGGGCTTTTGCGACTTGCATTTATCAAGTAGCGAGTATCCGTACGGATACTCATTCAATATGAATGAATGCAATTTTCCTGTGAATAATCTTCGTTTTCTCGGTCTTATGTCGATGACCGATCCACCAAAGGTAGCTGTTCCTAGCACGTTAGTAACACCTAATTTTCTATTTTATGACCTTCAGTCGTACTTGTTTTTCTTACTATAGCATAATGAATTGTCGTTCGGCTGGAATCAAAGTAGTTATGGTCACTGGAGATCATCCAATTATCGCAAAATCTATTGCACGTGCCACGAATATCATTTCAGAAGACTCAGAAACAATAGAAGATATAGCAGAACGTTTAGACACTTTTCCAGAATTAGTGAACCCGAGGAATGCTAAAGCTTTTGTTATTCATGGTAATGATCTCGAAGGAAAATCATCAGCAGAAATTGATGCATTGCTAAGAGATTATACAGAAATTGTTTTTGCCCGAACATCTCCCCAGCAAAAAGCCATTATTGTTGAAGGTGAGTATAATATTATTAATAAAGAGATATCAAGATCAATCCTATGTTTAGCATGTCAACGACAAGGTGCTATTGTGACTATGATAGGCGGCAGTATCAGTGATTCATTAGCTTTTCGACAAGCTGATGTTAGAGTTTTTATGGGTTCGGTCATATTTTTTCTCTTTTTCATTATATGAAATAGACTAACTGATACGTGTAGGTATGGGTAGTTCGAATGTATGCCAACAAATAGCTGATATAATTCTGATGGACGACAGTTTCGCTGCACTACTGACAGGTGTGGAACAAGGTCGTCTAATATTTGACAATTTGAAAAAATCAATTGCATATACCATGACATCAAACATTGCCAAGATGACTTTCGTTCTGATTTGTTTATTAACGAATATACCGTTACCATGGGGAATCGTTAGTGTGTTATGTATCGATGTCATGAATATCATAGGAGCCATTTCATTAGCTTATGAGAAAGCGGAAGCAGATATTATGAAGAGACGACCAAGAGATCTACAGCACGATCGACTTGTGAACAAGCGGTAAAGAATATGTCATAGCGAATTGAACAATGAAAATATTGACTATTTTTTTTTAGTCTTTTATTAATAGCTTACGGCCTCATAGGACTCCTTCAAGTAGCTGCTGGATTCTTAGCTTATTTTTTTGCCATCACCCAGAATGGCTTTTTACCTTCACATCTTTTTGATTTGAGAAAATTATTGGCATCTGATGATGTCAATAATCTTCAAAATTCCTATGATCAAGAATGGGTTCGTAGTTCTTGATTTATCTACCTGAAACAAAATTTGTTTTTTTTTAGACTGATGAACAACGCAAACAACTCAACTTAACATGCTACACGGCTTTCTTTATCACTGTCAGCATTTGTCAATTGGCTACTTTAATCGTATTCAAAACTAGACGCGATTCAATTATACAACAAGGCATGGAGTAAGTCCATTGTAATAATTCAAACTATACTGATGATCGATCTATATGTTTTAAATTGAATAGCAATTTAGTGATCAATTTTGGTGTAATATTTCAAACTATTTTAGTTGCAATTATATCCTATATAATATATTTTAATAGGATTTTCGATATCTATCCATTGAAGTAAGAATTGATATAGTTTATTAGAATGCTTTTTAAATTTGATTTCACAATAGATTTTACTGCTGGCTTCCGGCATTGTCCTATGTTTTTCTCATTTCAATCTTTGATGAAATACGTAAAAACGTCATTCGCAAATATCCTGGCGGTGTTATGGAAAGAAAAACTCTTTATTAGCTTTTTAAAAGATTATTTCGTAACATTTACATTCTCCTACGAACTTAGATTTACTACTAGATTAAATCTATTCATTTACCAAATATTCTATTACTCAATTTTCCCTTAGTTTCGAAGTTTTCATTCAATTAATAAAGGTATATTGATGAAAAAAAGACATTTTGAAACGTCACTCGTTCAAAAGATCTATTAGAGAACGTGAAAAATTTTCATGAAACAAAAAAATAAGTAACGTATAATCTTTTATTTTTTCTAATTTGATACTTTTCTGATTGACTTAGAGCGACAATGCACAGCTAATATATCATCTCGTAAATGATGTTCCATACAGGATGGGTATGGATGTGAATATAAGTCTAATATTCCCTCTTATCCACACCCATACTCATGAATCTGTTTTACAAGTGTTTTGTTTAGTACTATATGAGGTACTAAATTAGGAAAAGTATGATCAGGGAAGAAAGTGTATTTTGATTTATAACTTGTGAGTGTAGTTTTTTTAAGTCTTTCATTGAAGATCCTTTTCGTTCAATTCGTTGTATTTATCTTGCTTTTGCTTTAATTTATCTTGACATCCCTTTGATTGTTCAGCTGCTATTAGAGTCATTTAAAGTAAAACCAATTGATTATATTTCAAAATTCATCTTAGATAGTATTATGTACAGGTTTTGACAAATTTGAATATTATTTTATCCTTTCAAACACGACATTATGTAGAGAAGTTATAGACGTAGTACAATGATATCGATAAATTTATTTCTTGTCAGATATTGACAAAAGCTTTATTTTACATTTGAACGAGACAACGGTCCAATCGCTTATGTATATATTGTTGAACGCCATCCACTGATTAATTAAGAGAAAAAATTGAACAAAACAAAACGATAAAGATTGTGAAATGTGATTGGCAGATCTAGCTGGACATTAGAAAACAACATGAAATGCTGATAATAAAGTTGTCATTCTCAGTTATTACTGTTGAAACAGTCTTACTTGAAAATAAACCCTTAGAAGTACATGACACCTACCATAAACAAACTACCAACTTGATTGTTAAGGTCTTTAAATATTTTCTACATCCCAAACATCCATCTAGACTGATAATATAAAACAAAAATAATGTCTGTAATTTTGATAAAAAACTTTTCACTATCAAATGGTGATTACGTCAGGGCCATTCAATTAGATTCGAATGCTTAACTAAAAATGTGAAGTAGCCCATTTGACAGGGTATTGAAAAGTAATGTTAGAGAACTTATTGGTAAAATCAAAAAACCATTGTTCAAGGCAAAAAACGAATTATCAGATATTTTCGTGACAAAATCACACTGACAAATGGATTAGTTTAACAATGTGAATATCTTTTTCCGGGAAATGGAAAAATCTAGGTCTTTCTATATGAACATATAGACCATTCAAGTCACTTTTACATTGTACGATCCACTTTAGAAAAAGCATGTTTTCTTATACTAAAGAACAGACCGAAAAAATAACGACATATAATTTGGTCTTCATTGAGTCTGCAAGACATATCTTTAACAAAAGTTATTTTTCGAAGTTAGATATATCTACGTAAATAAAAAATGTAGTTTTCTACGCTATCAACATGGCTATATTTGTTTTGTCTAACTGTGTCAGTTGATTTCACTCACACCGGTTAACCGCTACATGAACAGGTCGAGTTACAATAATGCATAGCAGAATTCATGAATAATATCTTTTAATTTAAACGAAAACGATTTAGTTGATAGAAATGCTTTTTTGGAACTGTTCATTATATAACTAAAGGCCAAAAGTTTACAATAGATATTGTTGATGGTATCTTTTTCTATTATCATCATTCAATATTAAAACCAATTTTAATTTGACATCAATAATATGTATCGATATTATTTCTTAATAACAAATCATAAAGAAATTCGATAAAGAAAGACGTACAAATTCTATTCAGATGTTTAAAAAGAATTGATTTACTTATTCAATTTATTTGATTGTGTTGACAATAACACACTTGATCTTTCGCCTATACAAATCAATAACTTATTCACGTATTATCGTTTGAGTTCTGGTGGTACACATTATATACAACTTTGGAAATTTTCTAATTCTCGAGTTTTTGACATGAATGGATAAGATGGACAAGTGCGTATCATACCAAGTTTCTGTAGTCCGAAAAAAAGGTTTGACTAAATAACTTGAATTTTATAATAATATACTGCGCTATCGCATACTGCCGATTTAGTCATTAAAAATTTGTACAAAGTAATTGGTATTTGGATGCACATGTATAGACATTGCGTATCATCTATATAAATGAGAAAAAATACTAACATCTGTTTGTCACATAAAACAATAAGATACATAATGGTTTCAAATTCAGATGATAATCTATTTTATGAAAAAATAGGACTAGCTTATATGCTTCTGGGCACAGTAATGCTAAAGATAGTGATTCATTAGTTGAAGAACTTCATCAAGAATCAATAAGTCAATGGAATATGGGCAATTTAGATTTCTCAACTTTCAAGTTTTTTTGATGGACATGTATTAGGAAATAGTAAAATAATGAAATCAATAGATTCATTATACAGGTTTATAAGTCAAGATATGATAAAATCGACTGTATGCTTTAAAATGTCACGTAAGTTAGTCTATAACTAGTTTCATCAAGTTTCGTTCAGTAGAAAAAATGCATGACTGAAAGGGTTAACATGATTTTAATAGTAATGATCTTATTGAATATCTAAATAAATCATGCATCTTATACTATCAACAAGTTATATACCATTTTTTTAAATTTATTAATGAATATCTTCGTGAAAAGCGTTCATGTTAAATTTGTATTCAATTGAAATCTTCAACTTTCGAACTAAAATTATTTGAAAGAATCACAACTTTCATACATCATCTTGGTAGGTTAGAATACTAACACGTTAGATGGATGTTCTGTTCGCATAATACCTCTTTCAAGTATCGTAATCATCGACAAAATAGCTTAAAAGTAATAAATTCTTTTATAAAAGTTGTTGTTCTGAAGAAATTAATTCACGATTTCCAGGCATTTTCTTTGATCTTTGCAGTGACAATTGTATCAAACAAATTGACATAATATGAACAGGATTCTAAATGACCCTTTCATGAACAGAATCACATCGATCGGAGATTTGATGCTAACATATCTAAATATCATTTAAATAAATATTTTATTGGAAAAGTCCTATTATAAATCAAAAATTCAATCTCAATTGTCTTTCAACTTGAATGTTTATTTATTATAATCAAATATTGATAAATACCGAATTAATTGTCGTGGTAAACTGCATTTACCGCAGTAAATACATGGGCTATTATTACATTCAATTTTGACGATACCTGATAATAGAATCTAAACTAGAAAATGTTTTCCAAAAATAATTTACTATTCAAGAAACGAATACAAAGTTACATTGTTCCTTGCATTGTATACTTTCATCTTTGTTAGCAAATAATCGAAATATATTTTCCATATTGTCTAATAATTGTGAAAAAATCCAGTAGATACTTTATTACTATCAGATTCCATTCGTAAAATTCGATAGTACCCAACAGTTAGAAATTACAGGATAGTCCAGAGATATTATCCGATTATTAATGATCGATGATAAATATTGATGAATATTTATTCTTAGTAATATGTCTTTATTTTTCTATGCGACGGTTTAGTTGTTCAGATGTAGGGACCAATCAAAGAAAGAAAATTTTTTTGAGTTGTTAAACTATATATTCATCAGATAAATTTATTGTTAAATTCTACGGTAATTGCATAAGTATTTAGTGAATGAAATGTGAAATCAGAATCTGTTCATTCTGTACGGAGATCTACTGAATATGCAAGATTGTCTCTGGGTAATGTTGAAAATTTGGAAGATTCTTTATATATGTTTTATTATGGTGCCATTCTCTCTTTATATGAAGTAACAAAAGTTTATTGAAAACTAGAAGATTTTTTGAAATAAAAGAATATCATAGTTAAATCATCCATTTCAAGATAAGAAGTTTATCTCATAATCGTGGTGAACTTTAACAAATTCAAACCAATAGAAAATACAATTGTTTCTATGTCCGTATTTTGATAAAATAAAATCGTTAATTTTATTAAATTCAATTTTCCATAATATATATTGTCTATCAATGATAAAGGAGAAATTAAAATAGTTCATTATTTGGATAAGTAAATTATTTTAACAAAAATCTGACTACATTAAGCATCTTGTTTTTGGTCATTTCTGATTATTGCTGTAGTTTGAAATATGTTCTTTCGTCGTGATGAAAGTATAAAAATATATGGTACATTGGTTTATTGAATTTAAAGTGAAAAGAATATAGAAAATTCATATTATCGTGTAAGTCTTAATGGATGATACGTCTATTTTGATACATTGATATGATTTCGAAATGAAATAAACGATTAATGTTGAATTTCTCTATGTGAACAACTATGCTTTCCACAGTCAGAATTCCTTTCTAATAGAACAAAACTTTATTGATGTCACGTAAGTGTAACAAATAACACACAACATTGATAATAAAATGCTAAAAAATGAAGTATCTAATAATCGCTCGCATTTTTTTTATGGAAAGACATAATGCAAAGCAATAATAAGAAATTATACTATATTCCGTTTTAAGGAAATGTTATCATCAATGCTCAAGGTCCATGAATAACTATTTACCAAATGAGATATAGATGTGATTTTGTTATCACATCATTAATTCATTGTTTGAGAGTTAGTCAAATATGTATCAATGATATGCTAGATATCATATGAGTTAGTAAGAGGAAGACACGTAGGAGTTTGAACGTGGATAAATATTCATACTCGTATCCAATTCAAAATGAATCGATCAAAGAAAGCTCCAAGAGTTTCAAAACATGCTAATTTTCTTGATGCGAGATTTAAAAAAATACTTTATTTTTCTATATATACAAAAAAAAACATGATTCTAAACGAGGAATAAGTTCACTTATTAATAATCAATGTAGTTCAATAAATGTATGCAAAGGTTTTTGAATACAATCCATATAGTTTAATTGCTTCTTTTGAATTATTCGTGCGCATAGACATTTTAGACTGAGCTAATTTGGATATATTCGAAAAAGGCTTTTAAGGTTTTCATGTTGAGTACAATCTTTTGATGTTTTTCCCTGTGCTGTTGCATCAAGATGTGCACCACTATCGATAAGTAAGTCAAATATTTTTTTAATATCGTTCCATTCTTCCTTGGTAAGTTTTTCAAATTTATTGCAGGCAAAGTTATGTAATGGTGTATAATGATTATTATCAATAGCATTGATCGGTGCTTGACAGGATAATAATAGTTGAACTACTGATAAAGATGGAAACCTGTTGCGAATACCAACAGAAAAAGCGTTACGATGTTCCATCAAAGATAAATGTAATAATGTTTTATTATCAGATAGAGTACGCCAATCTGAATCAATATATTTTTGAACTCGTTGAGCAAGTAGTGCTTGTCGTTCTTTTTCTTCTTCTTCTTGCATGTTAAGACCTGAAACAAAACATGATATTCGTGTCGGGTGGGTGTGGGTGTGTGAGTGCGTGCGTGGGGGTGGGTTCTTGCGTGTGGGTGGGTGTACTGATACCGATGTGGCCGTCTGTGGGCTGCGCTGGCTCTCGC